GCGTGACAAAGGATAACGCCGTTACTTCAGCCATGACAGTCTGCCATTTTCTGAGAGTGACGAAGATGAAGCAATTTACGTCAGCCATGACCTCCAAGTCACGTTGTTAATAGGTAACACCCATTCACAATATGTGCACTCTATTGTACATGATGTAACATGTACATTATATATATATATATATATATATATATATATATATATATATATATATATATATATATATATATATATATATATATATATACACACACATACACTGAGATGTTTGTGTACATGTTTTGTTCTTCTGTTCTGAAGGTCATGTTCTTTGTTCTCTCGCGGAGTTTACGTTTTTATTTCATCTTGCAATTATGTATTGTGGGACTTGATTGTTGTTGAGTAAATTGAGGCTCTTGGGCCACCAGTTGTGGGAGCGGGGCGTCTCATCTTGGGCCACCAGTTGTGGGAGCGGGACGTCTCATCTTGGGCCACCAGCTGTGGGAGTGGGGCGTCTCATCTTGGGCCACCAGCTGTGGGAGTGGGGCGTCTCATCTTGGGCCACCAGCTGTGGGAGCGGGGCGTCTCATCTTGGGCCACCAGCTGTGGGAGCGGGGCGTCTTATCTTGGGCCACCAGCTGTGGGAGTGGGGCGTCTCATCTTGTGCCACCAGCTGTGGGAGCGCGGCGTCTCATCTTGGGCCACCAGCTGTGGGAGCGGGGCGTCTCATCTTGGGCCACCAGCTGTGGGAGCGGGGCGTCTCATCTTGGGCCACCAGCTGTGGGAGCGGGGCGTCTCATCTTGGGCCACCAGCTGTGGGAGCGGGGCGTCTCATCTTGGGCCACCAGCTGTGGGAGCGGGGCGTCTCATCTTGGGCCACCAGCTGTGGGAGCGAGGCGTCTCATCTTGGGCCACCAGCTGTGGGAGCGGGGCGTCTCATCTTGGGCCTCCAGCTGTGGGAGCGGGGCGTCTTATCTTGGGCCACCAGCTGTGGGAGCGAAGCGTCTCATCTTGGGCCACCAGCTGTGGGAGCGGGGCGTCTTATCTTGGGCCACCAGCTGTGGGAGCGAAGCGTCTCATCTTGGGCAACCAGCTGTGGGAGCGAGGCGTCTCATCTTGGGCCACCAGCTGTGGGAGCGGGGCGTCTCATCTTGGGCCACCAGCTGTGGGAGCGGGGCGTCTCATCTTGGGCAACCAGCTGTGGGAGCGAGGCGTCTCATCTTGGGCCACCAGCTGTGGGAGCGGGGCGTCTCATCTTGGGCCACCAGCTGTGGGAGCGGGGCGTCTCATCTTGGGCAACCAGCTGTGGGAGCGGGGCGTCTCATCTTGGGCCACCAGCTGTGGGAGCGGGGCGTCTCATCTTGGGGTAGTCTACCTAGCATTGGGTCTTCTAGCACTTTGATGGTGTTCGGAGCTCCTGGACTGTCTGATCATATGGCGGACGGTGTTTTGTTGCTCTTCTTAGCGCCCTATTTTGCACTGCTCTTAGCTTTTCTATGTTAGTTTTCATTAAGGTGTAAAGTGGTACTGGAGGATGCTGTACACACGGCCGGACTGGAGCCTTGTATGAGTGTAGGTGTGTTGTCGTGCTGCCAAGGGGGTACGGAATCTTCTCAGTTTGTCTAACGCTGTTTTGATTTCGTTTATTGTGTCATTTAAGATAATTATTAATTCCTGTTCTGTTAATTCTGACTGAGTATTCTGCCAACATTCGTGTGTTGGTTGGGCCGATTGTCAAAAGTCATACTCTCGATTTTTTGCAATGCGCATTATTTTAAACTTGTTTCTTGCACTTGTTTTTCAATTTTTTTCTCGTTGTTTATGAAATATCTGTCCGCCTGTTGAAGACGTGGCCGAGAGGAAGCTTCCTTGTGACACTCCACTTGTCAGTGCTGTTGCGTCACCCAAGTAGCTGCCAATAGTGAGCTGGGTTGTTCTGTTGTCTATAGCACGGCGTGGCACACTCTCTCTGAGGAAGATCTAGTTCAGATATCTTGTATTCTTTTGCCAGTGTGCCAGACTTTGTCGACAGTTTTCGAGACATCTCCGAGCACGTTTATGTTACACTGGGTTTTTTTCGACTCTGCGTTGGCTATATGTTCGTAGATGAGGGCTTGAGCTACATGAACTCCTCCGGGGTCTCTAAACCCATGTTGTCTGGTAATCACCTAAGTGTACTCACCTAATTGTGCTTGCAGGGGTTGAGCTTTGGCTCTTTGGTCCCGCCTGTCAATCACCAGGTGTACAGATTCCTGAGCCTACTGGGCTCTTATCATATCTGTATTTGAAACTGTGTATGAAGTCTGCTTCCTCCACATCACTGCCTAATGTAGTCCATCTGTTAACTACTCTGACGTTATACTTTTGGTGTTATATATTTGCTCCTCTTCCGTGTACTTCATAAGTCTGAGGTTAATTATTTTATCAAATATTTTGCCTGGACCCTCGACATGACAAACTGGTCTGTAATTTTTCGCTTGAGTTAGGGTTTTCCTGACTTAGAAATTAATCTAATAAGGGCATTAATGAAATTGGTGGAGAATAGTCCGGATGCTAGAGCTGTATGTGTGTGGGGGGGGGGAGGTGGGACATGGTGGGGTGGGGGGGGTGAGGGGTGGTGATGGGGTTCGGGTGGTGGGGGCGGAACGAACCTCCTCCACAGGTAACCTTGGGGGAATTCTCTCTTCTCCCCCTTCCGGTGATGTTTAAATGGGCGGGGGACACTTACGTTCCCCTTCCCCCCCCCCCCCCATCTTCCCTTCCCCGTTCTTCTCTCTCTGTTTCTCTCTCTTAATTGTTTTACTTAGATCTGTATTATAGTGTTTTCTTAACCAGATAGACCTGTGGTGACCGTCGTGTAGCGTGCTGCCACGTGTTAGTGGTGACAAGTGCGACAAGCGGGAACAATGGGTACTATAACAGTGCAGTGTCGTGCACATATTTACAGCAGTTATAAAAGTCATCGGACAAATATTCTTCTTGGAAGAAAGATGTAGGAAACCCAATGACTCGTGAGAAAAGTGGAGGCTAACTTCACTTTATTCTACACTCCATACACTCACTCCATGCACTCACTCCATACACTAACATCATGCACTCACTCCATGCATTAACTCCATACACTCACTCCATACACTAACTCCATATACCAACAATAAATCTATCTACTGACTGTCGATAGATTGTGTACTGACTGTACACTTAGGCCATTCACAAACTATACTAATTCAAGTGTCTGTACAGCAAAATCACGAGGTTGTGTGAAAAGTCAGACAGGCAGTTTATGATTGAGAGTTGAGGCCCAGGAGCTGAAGCTCCAATTCAGCAAACAATAAAGAAGAGCAAACTTTTAAATGTACTAAGGTACAGAGAAAGGAAGGGAACCGGGAAACCACAATCAACAATTCCAGAGGGGAGTGGGGAACCCACAACCTGCAGGGTGACAAAGAAGAGAAGTGCAACAGAAGCCTAGACCTTCCACCTTCCTACTCTCCCAACACACTCCCTCCCTTACACATTCCTCATCCCAGACTAACCCTCATTCTCCCTGGCTTACCCTGCACCTTTACCCATGCCCAGGGGAGATGGGGTCAGGGACCAGCGAGGTCCAACATAATCCAGTACTCACACGTATCCTGTTTCAGATATATGTAAATGATCATCCGGAGGTTATAGACTCATTCCTCTTAATACTGTTGAGGAGGAGTCAGAGGGAGGCTGATAGCCACACACTACAAGATGACCGTGATAAACTGAAATGGTTACTCACGTAAGTGCAAAGTAATGAAATTGGGTGAAGGGTAAAAACGGTTAGACACAAAGTACAAAATTGGAGATGAAATCCTATTAGAATCAGGCCGAGAGAAAAAGAGAGACCCGTGAATTTATTTAATTTCGAACTTGTCTCCTGAAGCACACATTAAGAGGATATCATCACTGGCTTATGCTTGGATGGCTAGCATAACAACTGCTTTTACAAATTTGAGTAATTAATAATTAACAACCTTGTATATCACATATATCAGACCAATCCTGGAGTATGCAGCTCCAGCGTGGAGTCCTTATCTAGTTAAACACAAGATAATCTAGATTGCATAATATATCTTGATAACACAAGATCTAGTTAAACACAAATATATAAGAAGCCTGGTCGAGGACCGGGCCGCGGGGACGTTGAGCCCCGAAATCCGCGCAAAGTAAAATGAAGCTGGAGAAAGTTCAAGAATATCCCGCCCTGACTATTCCCAGAACTAAGAAACTGGAAAATATAAGAGTTAGGGAAGACATGATTCCCACATACAAAATTCCCCGGGAAACTAATATGGCAGACAAGAATAGACTATCAAAGGTGGTGCTCGAACAAGGAAAAAAAGTTGAAATGAAGCACCCAAATGAGCCACAGGGACATTATAAATACATTTTTGTCAGTGTCAGAGCAGTAAATAGATGTGGTGTACTAAGGAGGGAGCAGATGGAGCCAGACTCCAAAGACATGATAGATATGGTAAAGCTCAATAGTCCCATGAACCTGTACACCAGGTGATTGACCATTGAGAGGTGGGACCAAATAGTCGAAGCTCAACCCTTACAAGCACAATTTGGTACGCACAGGAATGTGTTGGGAGGAGGTATCCCGCCGTCTTGGTGGGGTTCAGGGGCTAGTAGGACGCCCAACACCAGGTCTTGGACTAGTAAGACGCACAACACCAGGTCTTGGGCTAGTAAGACGCACAACACCAGGTCTTGGACTAGTAAGACGCACAACACCAGGTCTTGGGCTAGTAAGACGCACAACACCAGGTCTTGGACTAGTAAGACGCCCAACACCAGGTCTTGGACTAGTAAGACGCACAACACCAGGTCTTGGGCTAGTAAGACGCACAACACCAGGTCTTGGGCTAGTAAGACGCACAACGGCCAGTCTGGAGCCGTGAATAATGTATGGGAGGGACCCGACAGTCACTGGCGGACACAAACAGTGAAGGAGACGTCGTTCATTACTATATGGCTGACCCACATACCCTCCAGCGAGATGACAGCGTCGTACAGCCTCAAGTATTCCACAATGTCCCAAAAGTCAACAGTCTCTGTCAGCGAGACCTTCCACAACACACCAGAGGAGACTTCAACCACATGTTCCGGTGCCCAGTTATATAGCCTCGCTCTCTAGTGTCCAAGTTCTCTAAACTGCCGCTGTTGTGGTGTAATATTCCTTCTGTGATCTCCTGTGAATATTTCACCATGAACACAATATGTCCCTCGCTCCAAGAGCGTTGGCCAGGACCGCAGGACCCCGCTCGTACTCTGGAATACACTAGCAGCTGACAACAAAGTGACGGAGGTTTATAATCCAGAAAGGACAGGTCGCGCTAGCTGGCACCTCCTCCAACTGGGATCCTGTTGGATTTTCACAGCTCAGCCGCAGGACTTCCTCGCCGTTTACCTGAATTTACCTGAGGGACACCATCTCCAGTTGCCTCGACGAGAACAGGAAGGCAGCGGTTTGTCAAAGGTCCCCCCTATTTTGTTTTTTTTTATCTGTTTACACGATAAATATCTGTTGTATTTAATGTTTCACGACGCCAACCTGTCCTCTTAAAAATAACGTCGCTTTTGGCCGTTTGCCCGTATGGCCGAATTTGGACGTATTTTGAAAATGAAAAAAAAAATGAAAATATATTTGAGATTTTTTTTTTCAACAACAGTAAGTTAAGGGTCCTCTGGTAGGTTAGGTGGGCAGGAAATTCTCATAAAGTTTCAAAACTGTATGAAAAACGTTAATGGAAAGTTTTCTTTTCTAAGCTTGCCGAGTAAGCCGGATGACTCAAACAGAAAACGGAACAGTACGTCACTTTTGTGAGTCGATTTCATTTCCAATTACGTCCAAATTTGGCCATAGCCGCATACCAGCCATAAGTGACGTTATTTTTAAGAGGACGGGTTGAGTGACCAACCTTCCAGCGTCCAGGGCGACCGTTTTGATCCACCACCAAACCGTCATCACCCATGGCGCTCCACTCACCCACGACCGCCCGTGGCACACCTATGAAGACCCATTTTCCAGTGCTCACAACCCACCGCCCACCGTTTGCCACAAATCTCCCTGGGCACACTGATCAAACCCCACGCCTCACCGCCCACTACCCACCTCCAAACACCCATTATACTCACCTGCAGAGGCCAAATGCCCACCTTCCAGAGGTCACCTTCTGGAGACAACCTTGGACACACGGCTCAATGTGCACCCACAACGACCCATCTCACAAGGACAACCTCCAAATGCCCCTCCAGCCACCCACCACCCACCAGTGATTATTCCCACCTCCCCTGCCACCCACCACCCACCAGTGATTATTCCCACCTCCCCTGCCACCCACCAGTGATTATTCCCACCTCCCCTGCCACCCACCACCCACCAGTGATTATTCCCACCTCCCCTGCCACCCACCACCCACCAGTGATTATTCCCACCTCCCCTGCCACCCACCACCCACCAGTGATTATTCCCACCTCCCCTGCCACCCACCACCCACCAGTGATTATTCCCACCTCCCCTGCCACCCACCACCCACCAGTGATTATTCCCACCTCCCCTGCCACCCACCACCCACCAGTGATTATTCCCACCTCCCCTGCCACCCACTGCCCACCAGTGATTATTCCCACCTCCCCTGCCACCCACCACCCACCAGTGATTATTCCCACCTCCCCTGCCACCCACCACCCACCAGTGATTATTCCCACCTCCCCTGCCACCCACCACCCACCAGTGATTATTCCCACCTCCCCTGCCACCCACCACCCACCAGTGATTATTCCCACCTCCCCTGCCACCCACCACCCACCAGTGATTATTCCCACCTCCCCTGCCACCCACCACCCACCAGTGATTATTCCCACCTCCCCTGCCACCCACTGCCCACCAGTGATTATTCCCACCTCCCCTGCCACCCACCACCCACCAGTGATTATTCCCACCTCCCCTGCCACCCACCACCCACCAGTGATTATTCCCACCTCCCCTGCCACCCACTGCCCACCAGTGATTATTCCCACCTCCCCTGCCACCCACCCCCCACCAGTGATTATTCCCACCTCCCCTGCCACCCACCACTCACCAGTGATTATTCCCACCTCCCCTGCCACCCACCACCCACCAGTGATTATTCCCACCTCCCCTGCCACCCACCACCCACCAGTGATTATACCCACCTCCCCTGCCACCCACTGCCCACCAGTGATTATTCCCACCTCCCCTGCCACCCACTGCCCACCAAGTGATTATTCCCACCTCCCCTGCCACCCACCAGTGATTATTCCCACCTCCCCTGCCATCCACTGCCCACCAGTGATTATTCCCACCTCCCCTGCCACCCACCACCCACCAGTGATTATACCCACCTCCCCTGCCACCCACTGCCCACCAAGTGATTATTCCCACCTCCCCTGCCACCCACTAGTGATTGTACCCACCTCCCCCTGCCACCCACCAGTGATTGTACCCACTTCCCCCTGCCACCCACCAGTGATTGTACCCACTTCCCCCTGCCACCCACCAGTGATTGTACCCACTTCCCCCTGCCACCCACCAGTGATTGTACCCACTTCCCCCTGCCACCCACCAGTGATTGTACCCACTTCCCCCTGCCACCCACCAGTGATTGTACCCACTTCCCCCTGCCACCCACCACCCACCATACATACATGCATTTTCGGCTTATATCGAGCGCCCCTTATATCCCCCCCCCCCCTTCCAGGTCAAACTAATGACCCTCCCAGGATATAGCCACTTAACAGTTGCCTAACTCCCGGGAAACATATTTACTGCTAGGTGATCAGCGGCATTAGGTGAAAGGAAAAAAAGGAAACATACCAAACCATCTTCCCCCCCCCCCCCCCAGGAGTTCTGACTGTGACTGTCCAGGAGTCTTGGACTAAATGAATGTTATGGCGGTGATGAGATAAGGAAACATTACATGTGAAATAATTCCTGTCGTTGGGGACAGGAAGCCTGTTCTTGGGATTTATCCCAGACCTTTCCCGCTAGGCCAACTGCGGACCTTCCCCCAAGATGCAACCCACAATAGTTGCTTAACTCCAGATTACCAGTATTACTGCTTGGCGAAACGAGGCATGAGGTGAAAGGAAACATGTGCGGAAATTGAACCCTGGGCGCTCGATTGCAAGCCGCGGACGTAGACTACTGCGCTACAGTAGTCAATCAGTTTAAATACCTGTGAAGTGGGATTTACTTCCACCTGACAACTTGTGTGTACATAACGACCTAGTTTACTCAGCCAGTAAGGAAATGTATATGTTTATCTCTCAGAATGTTCGGTAATATGTTTACTGTTTGTGATGTGTGTATATGTATGTATTAACACGATGTACTGAACGGGGTGAGAATAGCTTGAGCAACCTCATCCCTTTCTGTGTATTTTACCTCAATAAACTTATTTCAATTTCAATTTCAATTTCAATTTCAGCCAGTATGACCTCAGAACAACTGAATTAAAAACGGATAAAATAAACAGTTTAATTTTTTATGAATATTTAATTATGAAATAACTTAAAATTACAACTTCTTTGAATACTAAAAAATGGTTGTCATGGAGATTTCAATGTCCTCACATTGATCCACTATATATATATTGTTCATATAACTTGTCAAGCCACCGGCTTCCTGTCCCTGTCAAGGGAGGTAACATTGGCAGGGAACTGTAGGCTGTTGTTGTAGATAACTGTAGTTGTCACAACCTTGCCAGAGAATGTTGTTGTTGTTGTAGATAACTGTAGTTGTCACAACCTTGCCAGAGGATGTTGTTGTTGTTGTTGTTGTTGTTGTAGATAACTGTAGTTGTCACAACCTTGCCAGAGGATGTTGTTGTTGTTGTTGTTGTTGTTGTAGATAACTGTAGTTGTCACAACCTTGCCAGAGGATGTTGTTGTTGTTGTTGTTGTTGTTGTAGATAACTGTAGTTGTCACAACCTTGCCAGAGAATGTTGTTGTTGTTGTTGTTGTTGATAACTGTAGTTGTCACAACCTTGCCAGAGAATGTTGTTGTTGTTGTTGTAGATAACTGTAGTTGTCACAACCTTGCCAGAGAATGTTGTTGTTGTTGTAGATAACTGTAGTTGTCACAACCTTGCCAGAGAATGTTGTTGTTGTTGTTGTAGATAACTGTAGTTGTCACAACCTTGCCAGAGAATGTTGTTGTTGTTGTTGTTGATAACTGTAGTTGTCACAACCTTGCCAGAGGATGTTGTTGTTGTTGTTGTTGTTGTTGTAGATAACTGTAGTTGTCACAACCTTGCCAGAGAATGTTGTTGTTGTAGATAACTGTAGTTGTCACAACCTTGCCAGAGAATGTTGTTGTTGCTGTTGTTGTAGATAACTGTAGTTGTCACAACCTTGCCAGAGGATGTTGTTGTTGTTGTTGTTGATAACTGTAGTTGTCACAACCTTGCCAGAGAATGTTGTTGTTGTTGTTGTAGATAACTGTAGTTGTCACAACCTTGCCAGAGAATGTTGTTGTTGTTGTTGTTGTAGATAACTGTAGTTGTCACAACCTTGCCAGAGAATGTTGTTGTTGCTGTTGTTGTAGATAACTGTAGTTGTCACAACCTTGCCAGATGATGTTGTTGTTGTTGTTGTAGATAACTGTAGTTGTCACAACCTTGCCAGATGATGTTGTTGTTGTTGTTGATAACTGTAGTTGTCACAACCTTGCCAGAGAATGTTGTTGTTGTTGTTGTTGTTGTTGATAACTGTAGTTGTCACAACCTTGCCAGAGAATGTTGTTGTTGTTGTTGTTGTAGATAACTGTAGTTGTCACAACCTTGCCAGAGAATGTTGTTGTTGTTGTTGTTGTAGATAACTGTAGTTGTCACAACCTTGCCAGAGAATGTTGTTGTTGTTGTTGTTGTAGATAACTGTAGTTGTCACAACCTTGCCAGAGGATGTTGTTGTTTTGCCCATGTTTGCTCTGGGCTGGTGTATGGGGGGGGGGGTCCTGCAACCCTCTGCGAGAGTGCTTTTGAGTAATATTAATTTTATATAATTTCTCTTCCTTAATGTTGTTTGGTTACTATAAATGTTACTTGAGTATCTCTCACAAAGTCTTTGACAAGCTTCTTGTTTTGAGATCCTGAGTGGTTGTCCAAGTATCTTCAACTCCTCTTAATTCTATTCCATGTTGGTAATAATTGCACCATTTGAATTTTCCATACTCTACTAACTGAGATTTTCATAAAAAAATATTATGAATAAGTTCATATTCATAAATCAAATCGGCTTTTTTTGAGTGAAGTTTTAAACACCGTCACGTTCTTTGTTATAATCCCATTCAGTGAACAATAATTGAGTCTTCATAACATCAGAACATGTTGACCCTTAAACTGCTAAATCTTTAAAACTCCTATACTCAAGTGCGCACGAGAAACATATAAATTGAAAACCCACATAGATCAATGACATATGGTGATTTCAGCATAATTAAGAGGAAATTTCAGATGATGATGGTAACAATGTAAGGGTCAACCCAGCCAAATTCTCCTATCGTGACGAGTCTTTGATGGTGCAGAACTTGTCAAGACACAAGGGAACATCACCAGAGAAGGACAGCAGCAGCATGGCTCATTAACTTTGACTAAGCAATACTGAAAATTCCGTTTAAAGCATGACTGTAAGTTTTCTTACCGAATCGACATATATTTCTCATTTGTTGGGGGAAAGAAAACTTTACTTAGGCTTACTTGATGTCCATCTAGGCCAACTACTGACCTACTGCTGGATGTTACCCACAAGAGTTGGGTACCTCTGCTAGGTAAACAGAGGTATCAGGTGAAAGGAACTGTGCCCAAATGTTTTTATTCTTTAAGGAGAGTTGAATTCGGGTCTCTCGATCTGAGTCGAGGACTTAGACTACTGCGCTACAGGACCCAGAGGTGGTTGCTTGGATGAAAGGTCCTTGGTCGCCTGCGCCATTCTCTGTGTTGTATATTTCCTGTGTTAGGGCAAACTCTTCTAATCATAATTAATCGTTTTACTTGCATCTTTTTTCTTTTCTTATGTGCCTCAGAAAGAAGCATTATGTCCTGGAAACCTTATATCACTTGCAACAATAAAGGAGATGACTTTAATATATGTTTTGCCCAGTATTGTTTGATAGTGCTAAATTATTACAGTTTATTTAGGTTTGGATGAGGTCTTGAAGAGAGTTGGTGAAGGATGTTGAGTGGCTCATGGAAGCTCCCTCTGGTGGATGGTTTTCACTGGAAGTTCTCGTTTGTTAGCCATAGTGGAAGATGTGGGGGGTCTCTATTGGTTTGCTCTGATCCAGTCGGTATACTTGCTGACTCTGGTGTAAACTCCGGGGCTGGCAGCCTCAGCACAGCGTATACCCCAGGACACTACACCCACCACGGCCCACCTGTTGGCACCTCCCTGCTGCAACATGAGCGGCCCACCACTGTCTCCCTGCAACAATACATTGCAACAAACTGTTAAACTAGATAAGGGGTCACCGGGTGCAATTTTCTCATACTGCTTTCAGGAGTCACGCATATCCGTACAACTTTCTAATGACCATATAACCACCACCACAACCACACTACCACACAACCACAACCACACCACCACAACAACCACACCACCACAACCACACCTCACCACCACACAACCACACCACCACAAGACTCCCAGACAGGAAACTTTGGGACACCTCACAATAATAACAACCAACTGACTCCAGGTCAGTGATTTATGCTCAGAATTGGTGAGGGTCTTATGCATTAGTGCGTCAGTGTAGCCAATTGTACGTGTTGGAGTTGTTATCGTGTGCGGGGAACTGCAAAAAGTGGAAACCTATTTCGAAAGACACTTTCAGGAAATACATGAGGGTAAAGGAAAATTAAAGTCATTGAGAACCCGATGGTTACACTCACCAGGAGTGACGAACTCCACGAAGAAACTTTTAAGAAAGTAGACGAACTGAAAGAAAACAATCTCTCAAAGGAGGGAAATATAAATGAGTTACAAGACAATAAAAGTGGTGGGAAAGGAAGAAAAGAGAACTAGGGAAGTAATTAGGGCAATGTAGGGAATCAAACAGGTAGATTGCATGAGAAATAGGAAAGAAGACAAGATAAAATATTTGTTGGTGTAGCAACAATCCTGAGAAGAAAGAAACTAATTAAGTAAAGAGTAATAAAAGCTGTAAGATCTCAACAAGTTGTGAAATATACAAGGCTGGAGTTGGGGATGGATCTGCAGTAATCAACAATCTACCAAAGCCAGAAGGAAATACATAGAAAATAGGAGAAAGACCAAAATGAAATAATAATTCATTATATTGAGGGGACAGGAAGCCTGAGTGTAAAATAATAAGATTGCAACACAAAATAATGGCCAGAGAGGCAACACTGGAAATGTCAGCTAGGAAGATTTTTCAATGAACGAAATTGGCCTGCTAAAGTTATCCTAAAGATCAATAATCCAGTTAAAAATATATTAGCATACAAGAGACATTTAAGGGATGAAGCAAACTATGATAAAGCATTAGACAGGATATGATGAAAGAAGACGGAGGCAGCAAGAAATACGGAAAGAAGATCAAGTAAAAAATGCAATGAGACCACAAAATTGTACAAACAATACACGAGAACAAACAAACCAGACAACAGAGAGAGTACCACAGATAGAAAGAGCAGCTTGATGAGGAACCCATCCCCAGCAGGAGGAAGTACTCCATCGTCATTCACTCCTCTCCCTATCAGAAATGGAAAGGAGAACCAGGAGCAAGTACTCCTCGGACAAACCAAAAACAAATTAGTAATGAGAAGCATAAAAGTTCTGCATACTAATGCAGATGGAATTACAAGTAAAGGGCAAGAGGTACAGGGAAAAGTGGCAGAATAACCACACATTATCGCAATAATGGAAATGAAACTGACAAGTGTTATACGAAATGCAATGTTCCAGGATAGTATTAAATTAAGAGAAAATAAGGCAAGAAGACCGTCTTTCAAGCAGAGTTGAGACATATTTTAATGAGTTTGGGTGGATGTAAATGAGAGCTGCCTCATATGGGCCAATAGCCCTTCTGCACTTTCCTAAATTCTTAGTTTTTTTTACATGAGATAACCACCGCACAGTCACCACCACACAACCGCACTACCACAACACGCCACACAGTCACCACCACACAACCGCACTACCACAACACGCCACACAGTCACCACCACACAACCGCACTACCACAACATACCACACATTCAACACCACACAACCACACTACCACAACACGCCACACAGTCACCACAACACAACCACACTACCACAACATACCACACAGTCACCACCACACAACCACACTACCACAACATACTACACAGTCACCACCACACAACCGCACTACCACAACATACCACACATTCAACACCACACAACCACAACATACCTGACAGGAATCCTTGCCCCCAGCCTTGTCCCCGGCACAGAGCTGCTTGTCAATAATGTCCTGCTCGTAGGCGTTATCACAGTCACTGTTGGTCCAGATGGGAATAGACACCTCCATCAGCACGCTGGACACCGGACCCCCGTAGTAGATGGTCCCCCAGCCTGTAGGGGGAGATGAGGGGTCATGTAAGGAGAACAGGTCAGTTACTGCGGAGTTATCAAGTTATGCGCTAATATAAAGTTTCGTTGTAGGGAGTCTTTTGTTTTATTATTGCTAATTATTATTTTTTATTTAATTTTATGTCCTGCAAGTTAAGTGTTATTTCATTAGGAAAGCTTAAACATGTTGTTTGACCTCTCCGTCTCGGCCAACTAGTTATGGTTGTGGTAAGATGAGAGTAATGACCTTGGAGAATATAAGAGACTCTACATATTAACCAGAACAGCTTGTTTGTGAGAGCTGCGGGTCCGACTCTGTCATACAACACGTGCAAACATCACTTTAGGCAAATTGAATGCAAATATAAATAAAATTATATTAGCCTATAACTCTCCTAAGACTGTCAAAATTTCAAGATTTTGGCTAGTTGAAAGCAGCAGTGCATCTTCAAATGGATAGTTAGAGGGATAGTAAGTTCTTATTGATGTCGTTGTTACTTTCTCGCGCATGGAGACGTGAGAGGCAGGAGGCTTTATGGTGACTTGCCAACATGATAGATGAGAACATAATAGATGAGACAGATGAGACCGACTTACCGACGACGGTAGCCTGCCTGTCAACGTATGTCTCGTCACCCTCCGGCAGACAGATGGGCCAGATGTCAGCGTTGAACTCTGTGCTCTTCTCTAGGGTGATGAGCGCGAGATCGTTGACGTAGGTGGTGGTGTCGTAGGCCTCATGCTCCTTGATCTTCAGCACCCCGAAGGTCTGGGCTCCTGCGCTGCTCTGATTAAAGTTATATTCTCCCAGACGGACAGAGATCGTCTTATGGTCAAATCTGGCGGCGGAAAAGTATTTATTTGGCTGGACTCATTACCATGTGTGTGTTTGATAAAGAGAGATACGAATCATGCCCAAGTGGGTTGTTAACCATAAATGATTCTCTAGGCAGACTTACCCGCGGACACAGTGGGCAGCAGTCAGGACGTGCTGGTCGGTAATCAGGACTCCCCCACAGTATTGACTGCTGCCCTGCCTCAGGAGGGCGGCCACCCACGGCCTTTTTTTATTAACACATTTAGGTACATCTGCATTTGTGCAGCTGCCCTAGACTATATGAAGGGGAGTACAGTGTGTCAAAAAGCTAGCTACGTGATGCTAAAAATCCCCATCACACAGGATGGTTAGTCATACAGAGGCATGTGATAAGTAGTCTGCACTGGCAGACTCTGGGTGCATTATGAGGATATCATCATCAACACAAGAGTGAATAAGGCAGCAGTGATACTAAAAGTCCCCATCTCGCAGGATGGTTAGTCATACAGGGCCATATGTTCAGTAGCCTGCACTGGCAAATTTTGGGTGCAATATGAGGATATCTTCAAGAACACGAGAGTGAATAAAGTAATTGCAAAGCTCCAGGTACCTCATGCCAACGGGTCTGAAAGGTCTAATAACTGGGCATTCGGTGATGTAGTGTGGGAGATCATGCCGTAGTTCCTGCTCACAGAGTTTGCACCTGGAGTGCTCAGGATTGGGAGATCCGTCACCTGTAGCCACCTGAGTGGACTGAGCCGTCGGTGTAGACACAGTGCTCGTGAGATCTTAAATTCTCGATGGAGGAGACAATTGTTTCAAGTGTGACAGCTTTGAGAAGAGCAAGATTCTAATTACCTTTCTTGGTGACAGGTGTGTATGATACTTGAATGGTGGGGTACAGATAAAGAGGAATATCAGAGACAGGTAGATTGCACTTAAAAGGAATGTTGATTTGATGAGATTGTTGGCAATTTTGCTCAGCCATTTATCATAAAAGGAGTGAGTTGGTATGTCGGCACCAGTCAATAGGGTGTTAACAGCATTTAATAATTTGTCTCTGAACAATGCAGGAGATGTAGGGTCTCTTATGACTTTAAGGCAAAAGGTCGTGTTGACTTTCCTCTCTCATGACTTTCACCATGTCGTAGTGCTACGTGTTAGGTCCGCTGCTTAGGACTGCCCAAGTCAAGGGTTCGAGTCCCTCCTTTCTCCAATTGATTTTTCTCACTGATACATCACCTTAATGTGATTTCCTTGTGTTTTGTATGTTTTAAATGTTGTTGGAGCGTCGTGGTTAGATTGTGCTTGTTGGGGATGAGGGGATGAGGTGTGTGTGTAGGAGTGGTGATGGAGGCGGTACTTACCTCTAGCCTCGCTTGGAGGGGTGGTGGGGCGAGGTGTGGGGGCGGGGGTAGGGGGCGGTGGTGGGGGCGCCGTCACCCCCTCGCTGTTGATGGTAGTGGGACAGCAGGCACCCACGTACCTGTACGAGGAGGACGGAGAAAGTGACACAGAGATCCTTCATAATCTGTCGCCAAGTGTGGAAAATGACTATTCAAAAAGCCATTTCTCAATCTGGAAATCCGTTCGTGAATTGGGATGAGCCGAAATGTTTACCTCGAACATTTATGTCACCTGGAACGTGCACAAATGTTTATTCAGAATGTTTTATGTATTATTGAACGAAGCAAAATGTTTGCTATAATGTTTACGTCGAATGAGTATATATATTCAGCATGTTACTGTGAATAAGAAAATGTTTTAACGAAATGTTTGTATTATTATATCCCTTTGTTTTTTGTAGGGAAGATTGGTGTATGGTAATGTTTTGTGGGGAGGCAGGTGTGTTACCTTGATGCTTGGGGAGGCAGGTGTGTTACCTTGATGCTTGGGGAGGCAGGTGTGTTACCTTGATGCTTGGGGAGGCAGGTGTGTGTTACCTTGATGCTTGGGGAGGCAGGTGTGTGTAAGGCAGGTGTGTTACCTTGATGCTTGGGGAGGCAGGTGTGTTACCTTGATGCTTGGGGAGGCAGGTGTGTTACCTTGATGCTTGGGGAGGCAGGTGTGTGTTACCTTGATGCTTGGGGAGGCAGGTGTGTTACCTTGATGCTTGGGGAGGCAGGTGTGTTACCTTGATGCTTGGGGAGGCAGGTGTGTTACCTTGATGCTTGGGGAGGCAGGTGTGTTACCTTGATGCTTGGGGAGGCAGGTGTGTTACCTTGATGCTTGGGGAGGCAGGTGTGTTTACCTTGGTGCTTGGGGAGGCAGGTGTGTTACCTTGATGCTTGGGGAGGCAGGTGTGTTACCTTGATGCTTGGGGAGGCAGGTGTGTTACCTTGATGCTTGGGGAGGCAGGTGTGTTACCTTGATGCTTGGGGAGGCAGGTGTGTTACCTTGATGCTTGGGGAGGCAGGTGTGTTACCTTGATGCTTGGGGAGGTGGTGTGTTACCTTGATGCTTGGGGAGGCAGGTGTGTTACCTTGATGCTTGATGGGGGAGGCAGGTGTGTTACCTTGATGCTTGGGGAGGCAGGTATGTTACCTTGATGCTTGGGGAGGCAGGTGTGTTACCTTGATGCTTGGGGAGGCAGGTGTGTTACCTTGATGCATGGGGAGGCAGGTGTGGGGAGGCAGGTGTGTTACCTTGATGCTTGGGGAGGCAGGTGTGTTACCTTGATGCTTGGGGAGGCAGGTGTGTTACCTTGATGCTTGGGGAGGCAGGTGTGTTACCTTGATGCTTGGGGAGGCAGGTGTGTTACCTTGATGCTTGGGGGGAGGGTGTGTTACATGGTGTGTTACCTTGATGCTTGGGGAGGCAGGTGTGTTACCTTGATGCTTGGGGAGGCAGGTGTGTTACCTTGATGCTTGGGGAGGCAGGTGTGTTACCTTGATGCTTGGGGAGGCAGGTGTGTTACCTTGATGCTTGGGGAGGCAGGTGTGTTACCTTGATGCTTGGGGAGGCAGGTGTGTTACCTTGATGCTTGGGGAGGCAGGTGTGTTACCTTGATGCTTGGGGAGGCAGGTGTGTTACCTTGATGCTTGGGGAGGCAGGTGTGTTACCTTGATGCTTGGGGAGGCAGGTGTGTTACCTTGATGCTTGGGGAGGCAGGTGTGTTACCTTGATGCTTGGGGAGGCAGGTGTGTTACCTTGATGCTTGGGGAGGCAGGTGTGTTACCTTGATGCTTGGGGAGGCAGGTGTGTTACCTTGATGCTTGGGGAGGCAGGTGTGTTACCTTGATGCTTGGGGAGGCAGGTGTGTTACCTTGATGCTTGGGGAGGCAGGTGTGTTACCTTGATGCTTGGGGAGGCAGGTGTGTTACCTTGATGCTTGGGGAGGCAGGTGTGTTACCTTGATGCTTGGGGAGGCAGGTGTGTTACCTTGATGCTTGGGGAGGCAGGTGTGTTACCTTGATGCTTGGGGAGGCAGGTGTGTTACCTTGATGCTTGGGGAGGCAGGTGTGTTACCTTGATGCTTGGGGAGGCAGGTGTGTTACCTTGATGCTTGGGGAGGCAGGTGTGTTACCTTGATGCTGGGGAGGCAGGTGGTTTACCTTGATGCTTGGGGAGGCAGGTGTGTTACCTTGATGCTTGGGGAGGCAGGTGTGTTACCTTGATGCTTGGGGAGGCAGGTGTGTTACCTTGATGCTTGGGGAGGCAGGTGTGTTACCTTGATGCATGGGGAGGCAGGTGTGGGGAGGCAGGTGTGTTACCTTGATGCTTGGGGAGGTGTGTTACAGGTGTGTTACCTTGATGCTTGGGGAGGCAGGTGTGTTACCTTGATGCTTGGGGGGAGGCAGGTGTGTTACCTTGATGCTTGGGGAGGCAGGTGTGTTACCTTGATGCTTGGGGAGGCAGGTGTGTTACCTTGATGCTTGGGGAGGCAGGTGTGTTACCTTGATGCTTGGGGAGGCAGGTGTGTTACCTTGATGCTTGGGGAGGCAGGTGTGTTACCTTGATGCTTGGGGAGGCAGGTGTGTTACCTTGATGTGTTACCTTGATGCTTGGGGAGGCAGGTGTGTTACCTTGATGCTGGGGAGGCAGGTGTGTTACCTTGATGCTTGGGGAGGCAGGTGTGTTACCTTGATGCTTGGGGAGGCAGGTGTGTTACCTTGATGCTTGGGGAGGCAGGTGTGTTACCTTGATGCTTGTGTTACCTTGATGCTTGGGGAGGCAGGCAGGTGTGTTACCTTGATGCTTGGGGAGGCAGGTGTGTTACCTTGATGCTTGGGGAGGCAGGTGTGTTACCTTGATGCTTGGGGAGGCAGGTGTGTTACCTTGATGCTTGGGGAGGCAGGTGTGTTACCTTGATGCTTGGGGAGGTGTTACAGCTTGTGTGTTACCTTGATGCTTGGGGAGGCAGGTGTGTTACCTTGATGCTTGGGGAGGCAGGTGTGTTACCTTGATGCTTGGGGAGGCAGGTGTGTTACCTTGATGCTTGGGGAGGCAGGTGTGTTACCTTGATGCTTGGGGAGGCAGGTGTGTTACCTTGATGCTTGGGGAGGCAGGTGTGTTACCTTGATGCTTGGGGAGGCAGGTGTGTTACCTTGATGCTTGGGGAGGCAGGTGTGTTACCTTGATGCTTGGGGAGGCAGGTGTGTTACCTTGATGCTTGGGGAGGCAGGTGTGTTACCTTGATGCTTGGGGAGGCAGGTGTGTTACCTTGATGCTTGGGGAGGCAGGTGTGTTACCTTGATGCTTGGGGAGGCAGGTGTGTTACCTTGATGCTTGGGGAGGCAAGTGTGTTACCTTGATGCTTGGGGAGGCAGGTGTGTTACCTTGATGCTTGGGGAGGCAGGTGTGTTACCTTGATGCTTGGGGAGGCAGGTGTGTTACCTTGATGCTTGGGGAGGCAGGTGTGTTACCTTGATGCTTGGGGAGGCAGGTGTGTTACCTTGATGCTTGGGGAGGCAGGTGTGTTACCTTGATGCTTGGGGAGGCAGGTGTGTTACCTTGATGCTTGGGGAGGCAGGTGTGTTACCTTGATGCTTGGGGAGGCAGGTGTGTTACCTTGATGCTTGGGGAGGCAGGTGTGCTTGGGGAGGCAGGTGTGTTACCTTGATGCTTGGGGAGGCAGGTGTGTTACCTTGATGCTTGGGGAGGCAGGTGTGTTACCTTGATGCTTGGGGAGGCAGGTGTGTTACCTTGATGCTTGGGGAGGCAGGTGTGTTACCTTGATGCTTGGGGAGGCAGGTGTGTTACCTTGATGCTTGGGGAGGCAGGTGTGTTACCTTGATGCTTGGGGAGGCAGGTGTGTTACCTTGATGCTTGGGGAGGCAGGTGTGTTACCTTGATGCTTGGGGAGGCAGGTGTGTTACCTTGATGCTTGGGGAGGCAGGTGTGTTACCTTGATGCTTGGGGAGGCAGGTGTGTTACCTTGATGCTTGGGGAGGCAGGTGTGTTACCTTGATGCTTGGGGAGGCAGGTGTGTTACCTTGATGCTTGGGGAGGCAGGTGTGTTACCTTGATGCTTGGGGAGGCAGGTGTGTTACCTTGATGCTTGGGGAGGCAGGTGTGTTACCTTGATGCTTGGGGAGGCAGGTGTGTTACCTTGATGCTTGGGGAGACAGGTGTGTTACCTTGATG